TTAGAGCACTTTGCTTGATGACATTAACATGTATGAAAGAGGTTGAGAGAATCCACTTAGGATGTAAGACCTATCCGAGGTTGTATGTCGGAGCCTTTACTCAATGACATTAACCTGTATGAAAGAGGTCGAGAGAATCCACCAAGAATGTAATACATATCTGAGGTTGTATGTTAAAGCCTTTACTCGACGATGTTAACATGTATGGAAGAGGTCTAATCGGATCCCCCTGGGATCGATTTTGTCTTGATTGGGAGGGGGCGAACGCCACGTGTATTACGAATCAAAGGTGAAGAATGATCTATCTTTAGACCGTTACTGCCTTTTTGAAGTCGAGATTAATACATTGCCCAAGGAGTAGAAGTCCAGCAAGGGACTATATGTGGCTTCAAATTTATCGGAAGCATTTTGCATTTTTCGGGAGTTTTCTTATATACCGTCTTAGTTTTGAAAATCTTGGAGGGATCTTCTTGACTAAAATTGTAGTCAAGGTTGCCCCCCAGTCTGGATCTAATTTCCATAAAATTGATGCATCAATAATAGTTGAATAATCTTTTGAGGTTGGAGCCAAAATTGCCCCATAGTTGGGAACCAGGTTCCCACAAACGGCGCCAAATTGTTGCGTCTAGGAGTATTCGCGGCAGTAGAGAAATATAAAGTTTAAAGTCTTAGCGTTGTATGAAAATCTGGCACGCAATCAAATAAGAGAAAGGGTGTGTAGTATTTATGAGGTGTCAAGATTTTTACGTGGACAACCCCTAAAAAAGGAGAAAAATCCACAGGGCATTGCGCAGTATAAATGAATCCACTAGTATTATAGTTGATTACAAATGAGGTCCTTCCTAGGGGGAAGACCTTAGCTTGATGTACATCTTATAAAGTACATTACATGGTGAGAATATAAAGCATTATTGTTGGTGCACTTGTTTGGTCTGAAGGACTGTAGTCGGTGTGCGACGTAAGTCAGAAGGACCATAGTCGACATGCGACGGAAGTCGGAAGGACTGTAGTCGGCGGGCGACGTTAGTCTGAAGGACCATAATTAGCAGGTGACGGAGGTCAGAAGGACTACGTCTGGTAGAATTCCATCAATCGATAGAAATCTAACATTAGATAGATGTTTGGTGAAAGTCTGACAATTGGTAGAAGTCCAGCGTCAGGTAGAAAATTGGCGAAAAGCGGAGGTCCGATGTTGGGTAGAAGTCCGACGTTAGTTTGTGGCCGAGGAAAACTATGATGTTAGATGGTATTTGGGGAGAATTTTGGTGTCACTTGGAGTTTGGGTGAAACTGTAGCGTTACTTGGAGGTCGGGCGGAATTCCGGCGTCACTCGGAGGGCGAGCAAAAATTCCGGCATCACTTAGATAGAATTCCAGTTGCAGTGGTCGAGGAGGAGTTCTTCCCTCCTATCTCTATTCTCTTCTCCTTCTTCTCTTGCTTGGGCCCCCCTCACAAGAGAAATGAGGGGTCTATTTAAATATTTTGGAGCGGCATGACCTGTAAATAGGTGAGAGATTAGGCGCAAATCAGGAGTGGTTTGAATGGACGGCCGATATTGAATCCCTTGATCGTGAACCGTTCATCAGACATTTGAAGGTCTTAATGATGTCAGAATTTGGAAATTTGGGCTCGTTGGATTCATCTCGTCGAGCCACTTGATTTAATTATAAGAACATTATGTTTGGAAACTGTTTGGTAACTCAAATTGTGGTTCAAACCTTCAAACAGCGCTTCGGGTCCTTGATTTGGACTCATTTGAGCTTGGATTGAGTCGAATTTGGTGTCTTTGGGTTCGTATTTCCGAGAAGATCAGTTCAACTATAAGTTTGCTAAAATCGGAGTTTAGACGGTCTCTGAATTAATTTTTGAAGTTTTCAACCACATTTTCTGCCTTGAGATTTGTGCTCGATCAAGATAATTTTATGATGACGTATCAATTGTCGAATAACCTGAGCTTATGAGGCTATTAAGTTAGTCCCGAAAAGGTTGAAATAAACCTCACAGCACTGGTGTAAATAAATATAATTACTATTCAACTTAAATAATCATTGAAAATTAATAAAAAATACTTATACATTCAAAATCTTCATATATTATGCTTGATTCCTTTTGGATACATGTATTGAATTCATAAGGCTTGTCTCTTAAGTCACCTATTAAATCATTACTCAAAGTCATTTATAAAATTTTAAAATATTAAAGCATAAACTTAAATTAAAACCTCCTTTAACCTATAATCAACAAATACCTCAAATATAAATAACTTAAACACCCAACTTAAGACATAAACAAACCACACAGCTTATATACACTAGAACATGTTTGTTAGGATCACTAAGTCTAGTCTTAGACTAGGCCGTAGTATGTTTGATATAATACGAGTACCTTTGCTTGAAGGTTATTCTTGATGTGTTTTTTTTTTTTTTCCAGTACTCTGGACGTTAGGACATACATAATTACTTTTTTATCGGTCCATAATTAAGCTTTTAAATTGTATATGCTTGCATTACACTCACGCAACATTGCATAGGTATATTCATGTTATCCTTTTATTTATTGTAAAATAGGAGCAAAATAGGATGTATCTAGGTTGTTTTTAAAAATAAAGATTCAAAATATAATGTATCTATGATTTTATGTAAATTATAAAGTGTTCACTGCATATTTGTGTATTTCAATTTCAAAGGTTGTAAATGCTCAAAGATGTTTCTTACATAAATAAATAGAGCTCCAAAGGATTATTCCCTCTCCTTTGAAGGGTGTTCTCTTTTGGAACCCTATATAAAATTTAGAGCCAAAAGAAAAAAAAAATGTATTTGAACTTAAATTCATAGGAATAGAAAATCATTAATGGAGCTTGATCACCTTACTTTTCAGCACATCCTCACTTGAATTTATATTTCAAATAAATGAATAAAAGATTTTATTTATGCATTTGTTTCATACATCATACATAACTTTAGTTAGATACATTTAAGAGTCTCGATTAAACTTTATAAATTAAAAAAAAATAAATCTTAACTCTTTAGGATATAACCATCCTATCTTGCATGCATATGGTGATTGATTGTATTTATAATGTTAGCTGACAACTCACTCTAAGCAAGCATAAACTCAAATTATACACCCCTTAGTGCGTCTTTTCAAACTCGTGACAAATCCTAAATATATAATCTACTAGGACAGTAAATTAGTATTTGATCTTCTAAACTCAAAATTTTTAAACAAATCTTTATATATTAAAAAAGTTTAATTCTCACTAAAAATAAAGAGAAGAGTTTATCCTCTTTAGATTAGAAGAGCCTGGAAATCTTAATATGCACCAAACCAAGAAAAAAATAAATATCATCCCTAATTAAGAGTATTCTTAGGCCAAGGCTTAAGATATAATTAACAGCCCCGGTGAAAAATTAACACACATCAAATAAATCATATTCGAGCTGATACATTGAAATGAGGAAATCTCATAACTATCAGATTATATATATCAGTATCCATTGAGATGTGTAAGCGAAAGCTTCTATTTTTCATGGATAATTATATCTATAATTCTATATGCTCTTTCATTAGCCTGCTTACGTAAAGTGTAAAGTCCTACGATGATTTTTTCCTACGAGAGTGTGCGATCGTTCCCTTTTATATTTTGACTCTCGTGAGTAGTATCCTTTCGGAGACCCATAATAGCAAATATTAACTTTTAAGGAAGTTAGTTTAATGTGGCTCTAAAGTTTACTTTTTAATGACAATGTTATATATACAATATCTTCTAGAAGCTGTCACTGATTTCATATCATTTAATAAGGAAATGTTTTGTTAACTGTTTGACTTACATTTTGGCTATTATATTATCTCTTAAATTGCTCTCTTTTTTATGATGATTTTGTTATGTCTCTTGAATTACATTTATTGTATTATACATGTTAATTAGATCTCTTGAATTGCATTATGTTATTCCCATTTATTATGTTTGATTGTTGTTCAAAGAACATTTGAATCATGTTAAAATCATGCTTGAAATTGTGCTCAAATCTTATTCGATATTTGTTTGAATTATGTTTGAATATTACTTGAACCTTATTTTGAATAGGATTTAAACTCTATTTGATCTAATTATGTTCGAACCATGTTCAATTCATATTCAAATAAGATTTGAACAAGATTAAAATAAAATTTAGACAACAATAAAAATTGAACCTTGTTGAAGGCTTAGTTCCAATTAATATCAGTCACAGTGGACTTCATTTAACTACTCCATAATCAAAAGCAGAAATATTTTGGTCTAAATTAAACTTACAAACATATTTATCAAAGAAACATATTTATTTTTTTAAATTTTTTGTATTATGAGATATATAAAATCAAATTTATTCGCTATGTGATATTATCTCTCTTATCAATATTCATTATTAATTCACATGATAGCTTACCCCAAATTTATGTGATGAAAAATTACTTTCTTCACTTATAATAAAAAAGTTATTTTCTTCACAACAACTTCACAATCAACTTTATAAAATATTACAATCATTCCAAATAAACCCAAACCATCAATACTCACAACTAAGGCTTCATTTGAGACGGCTTTTTTACTGCTGCTTAAAATAATTTTTTAGTACAAAAGTTGAAATTTTTGTACTTTTGAAAATTGCTTTAAGAAGCAGCAAAAAAAAATCCCAAACGAAACCTAAATTTATTCAGTAATCAAATTGTATTTATCAATTCATTGGTGACAGCTGCAAGGAAGAACGAAAAACTTTCAAATCTTCTCAGAAAACTAACAATCTAATGTTAATGATAAAAACAGAAGAATACAAATTTCAGGAGAGAAAATGCTCTCAGAATGCAGTATAATCTGAAAATGATATTGTTGGGACGCCAGGCAGAAAACTCAGCATATAATCGTTTAAAGAAAACAGTATATAAGTGATTAAGGTTTTATTTGGGACGACTTTCTTATAACTTTTTTATTAAAAAATTATTTTAAGAAGCTGTAAGAAATCTGTCTCAAATGAAGCCTAAGTTCCAGCAGAACATTTATATGGTTTTAACAAGAGCAGATTTATGTCCCATAGCAAATAAGACATGGCAGACATTGCCATGCCAACATAACTAACCAAAGTGCAGCAAAACAAACATATTGTTTTTCCAGACGCCCAAACTCATGCAACGTAGCAAACATCTTATGACAGACATGCCAATATAAAAGTACTGATAAACATGACAATAAGTCAAGAGAAGCAGCAAAAGCTTAGGAGACTAAACCCAGAATACGTTCTGAGATACTTAATAGCAATAGGTTGTTGATGAGATTTTGTTCACAGATTACTAATTCTTGGTACCAAGATGATCGATCATGTTCCATCATTCTACCATGCATCAGCTCCTTAAACCTGAAAGCAGATAATTAAAATATTAATGATCATAGTTGAGATGTCCAAAGGTTGCAGTAGAGAGAGTCGTCTTAGATGGTTTGGTCACATAAAACGGCTGCCTTCCGATGACCCGGTTAGGAAAATAGAGGTTTTAGATTTGACTTATGTTAAGAAAGGTAGTGGCAGACATAAAAAGACTTGGTTAGAAAATATTAGAAATGATCTTTCTCTATTAGATTTAAACGAGAAGTTGACTTTTAATAAAGCACAATGGAGAAAAAGGATTCATGTAGCCGACCCCACGTAGTGGGATAAAAGCTTGATGTTGTTGTTGTATAGTTGAGATGTCCAAAAAGAGATGACTATACAGAAAAATAAATAGATGCTACAAACCTTGATAATTATTATCCAACTGCGTGTGTGGCGTTCTGTGCAGCATCAGTCTCGGGAAGGGCCAGCCCCGGCGATTCCTGGACTGGCTCCAGGAATTGATTGGCTGATTGCTAATCAGAATCTTCATTAAATTCTTCATCAGAAACCTCATCAAAAGACCTCATGTCAAGCTGGTAGCGAAGAATACCTCCAATGCCACCAAAACCCCTGCAAAACTGTGAACCTTCTTGAGATTTGTTTGTAACAAACTCGAGTGAACAGCCAAATCGCTTGTACTCATTGGCAAGCCACTCTAATAGAGACAGCTTATCCTGCACTTCAAGTTCTGCAGATGTATCACTATCGCGAAAGTTGTTCTGATCGGATTCCTGATCTTTGTTCAGATGCTTGATGACAGGTTCCCCAGTAGCACTGTTTTTGAGAACATATCGGTTGATGTCCAAATTCTCCCACACAATCAAGATCTCAACAGCACCCATATCAAGTGCTTTCAGCGTGTCATCAACGCCAAAGACATACTTTCCAGTATCCTGGCTGATTTCCTCAAAATACTTTCCAATCAATTTCTTTTCCTGTATGAACTTCACATTTGCCAGGATTTCCGAAGACAACTCAATTGCCTGATTGAAACCATTTTCTCCACCATATGAGACATCAACCACGTTGATTATTTTAGCCTGTAGACGTGGATCAAACATATCAGATTGGCTCAATTCAGTTTTAAAATCAGCAGACCCAGCCAAGATCAACCCGGCAACATTTGGCTGACTTGTAGCAGGATTAATGAAGAACTGGGTGGCAAGTTCAGCTGTCTTCCTGACATAATTATGGCGCTTCTCCATCCGAAGACGAGCAAACCGCAGTGCAGACTGTCCTCCTCTTCCATGCTTCTTTGGAAGATCAACAGTGAATTTATGAAGCACCTCACGGGTATTACCGCTTAAAGTGCCGAAGAGAGTCCCATTACCGTCCATGATGATAAAGCCGAACTTTTCATCAGATTCAAGAAGTTCATTGAGTGCCTCTGTGTGGAACTTGTTGTCACATAAATAAAGTGATGCATTTATGGGCTTAAATGGTTCGAAATCTATTGTCACCTTCTTTTCTTTTCCATCATCAGTAATAATGGTCCCAGTATATAGAACTAGCCCGTTAGGAGGAACCTTGCTGTACAGCTTTAGCCTTTGTTGAGCAGAAGTTATGGCAGCCAGCACAGATTGCCGATTAACTCTACTTTTGATATTAGAGGCAGTTCCATATTCATCACCCAACATCTTAGCCACTCGAGAAACCTGATCACGAGGTGTCATAATTAGGGAAATCATGCTTGTGCCATTACCTCTGGCAGCTTCCAATGCCTTGATAAGTTTCTTGATCTTCCATATCTCAATGTTCCTATCATTTTCATGAGCATCAGCCATCTTACTAACTTTGAGAGATGAACCTACACAGAAATATGACATATAACACAAACAGAAGATACATCAACTAAAAGGTTTCAAACCAAACCAACTTTGCTATAGTACAAGAATCAATGGTGGATCCTAGGAGAGAAATGCAGAAAGCAACATGCATGGCATCATTTTAAGATGAGAATGAAAAAAAAAAAATTATCTAGCAATATGGCACAATTTGTTCAAACTGACGCAACAGAATAATCTATTACTGATAAAATAACTCAAGACTGAATTTTTAAAAGAAGATCCTTAGTAGAACATGAAAACTAGTAAAGATATGGGTTATAAGGGATAGCAAAACCATGCTAGAGGATGATAAAGGCGCTTTAATCTGAAAATAAATCATTGGCATCATCATCATCTTTATCCCAATTTTTTGGCTGGCTTTATGAATTCTCATTTTTCATTCCTTTCTATTAAGTGTTGCACTCAATGTTAAAACGATTCTTTGCAAAATATTTTGATGTGGCTTACCTGAACTGGACACATTATCACCTATTTTCTCTCCACACCCTCAACACGCACCACTACCGCTATTTGCAGCTTATATTCATTTTTTCTGTTATGCCAGTGCATTTCTCTTTTTCTTAGTTGTTTTACCTGAAATAGTAGTAAAAGGCATTTGGGTTTAGATAGGAGAATAAATATATAAATGTAATAGAGAATAGAGGAACTGTTTTTGTTCTCTAGTCTTATACTACTGTTTCATTGCTTATTCGGGAAACCCTTCTCCTGCGTTATCTGCCACACCATATTTGGTATCGGGGCTAATTATCTAAAGAATGGTGAAAGGAAGTTCACGTAGGGCTCTTGACGATGATCAATGTTTGGATGCTTTATAGGCAGCTCAAGCTATCTTCACTAGGAAACCTGATGATTTTATCACGAAATTTTTTCACTTCTAGACAGATGCAAAATTAAATGGCTACTCTAAAGACTTTAGTAATTACAAATCCCACTGCTCGTTGTCACCAGCTGGAAACCATACTGATAGTCCGGCCACAAATAGGAGGAGGCCGAAACCAGTGAAGATCACCCATTACAATCCCTGAGCTCATTGATTCTTAAAAAGACTTCAGCTTCCAGTCGCGACAGAAGGTCGCCGACTCAGCAAATGATGGGCCAATTTCTTATTTTAAATATCCAAGACGACAATGACTACATCACCGAGAGCACGAAAAATTTTGTGTAAAGCTGGATATTTCATTCTTCGATGGCCACCTTCACATTCAGGATTATGTAGACTGGGAACCTATGATGCACCGACACTTCTCCTCAGAGAGGCGTGCAGTATCCGACACGACACACATCTGACACTCCTCTTACACGTGTCGGACACGCTGAAAATGTGTCCGATTAAAAAAATATTAAATACAAATTGGACACGCGTATCTTAAATATTTTATGATTTTTTTAAATATAATTTCTTGTATTTAAAATTTTTATTTATTTAAAATATAAAAACTAATTTTCTTATTTCCTATCCACAACAACAAATCAATCGCCCACACTTAATACCTTATTTATCGAATATTCTCATTTTCATTTCTCTTTAGCGGGTTACAACTTCAATTTTACAACAATGTCCGATGTCATCTCAACATTGACGACTGACGCCGTTACAACATCAACATTTCAAAATAATCTCCCTATTAAAGTCTGACCTCCCTATTAAAGTCTGACGTCATCATTATTACATTGATGCTTGATGCTAGCAATTTCTACACCCATAACTTGACATCTCATATTTGTCCAACGCCATCTCAAAATCGACGACCAACACCCTCTCAACATCGACGATAAACACCCTCTTAACATTGACGCCCAATATTTACTGCATAACATCAATGCCCGACTCTCGACAACATTGTCATCTCCTCTCTCGATGATTGATAAATGACATCAATGCCCGATTCTCGACATCCTAATATTAATCATTTTAAGCACACATTCAAATTAAATGACTTATTATTTCTAAATATTTTTTAAATTATACTTATTCAATTTTTATACACTATTTTTAAATATAAAAAATTATAATATCGTGCCCAACCTGTGTCCTATATTTTCAATATTTGATGTGTCCCATGTCCGTGTCGTGTCATATCGGTGTCGCCGTGTCCGTGTATGTGCATCATAGCTCGGAACAAGTTAAGACATTTTTCAAATACATGAAAATTGCACAGGATAAACAGGTTAAATATGTTGCTTGTCGATTGAAGGGAGGTGTCGAAGCATGCTGGTTGCAATTGTTACAAAACAAGCAGATAGAAGGGAAGGAGTCAGTTCATAGTTGGTTCTGAATAAAACAATTGTTACAAGGGCACTTCCTACCTACAGATTTTGAGCAAACATTTTTATTTAAAATATCAACATTACTCTCAAGGGAAGCTAATAGCTGGCGAGTACACAAAAGAGTTCTACCGCCCGAGGGCTAGGAACAACCTCAATGAGTCTGAAAAACAACTTGTTGCTTGTTATATTGGTGGATTAAGAGAGTCAAATTCGGTATGATCTTTATTTGGTATGATCTTTATCCCAAGCAGTCAAATTAACTTTAAGGTTGAAAAACAACTCCAACAGCACTCACAAAGCTGCTCGTCCTAGTGCCAAATCAATGAACACACTGCAGATTATGTCAAGAACAATCTCAATTCCAAAAAGCCATCCACACCAATGCTAAATGCCAAGAAATGTTCAAGTAGACTATACGGCTAAAAAAAACGAATTCTAGCTAAAGATAACTCTAATGAGAAACCAATAACATTAAAGTTTTTTAGATGCTTTTAGCACGGACATAAGTACAACTAATATCCCAATCGCCCGCAAATACAATTACATAAAGGGGAAACTCCTGATGAAGAATAGACTGAAGTTGATTAAGTGGAAGTAAAGACCTGCACGGTGGCGAAGGAGAGCTGAAAGTCTGCATCCTTGAAAAGCTGCTCTTGGTGCCTCATCAACCACTCAATTCACAATTGAAGGCCCTACTCCTAACACGTTGTACAATTAATGATAAGCTTTGTGATTTAATTATTGATAGCGATTGCACAGAGTGACATTTGATGCTCCATTGTACGAGCATTATAACTCAAAACGACAAAAAATCCTCATCCATACAAAATAAGTTGGGCTAACAAGGGAGTGGTTATAGTCGTTTTAGAAATCTGCAACGCCACTTTTTGATTGAAAAATATTATGTATGTGAAGCTAGATACGATGTCCTAAATATAAATGTGTGCCACCTCATTTTGGGTTGCATTATCAGCTTGACACAAGCTCCTTTCTAGCCTTATTTGTATCAGACACTATTGGGAAATCAGCATGATCTAGTGATCCCGATGAAATTTGAAAGCTGTTAGAATTTGTCAGATTGGCCCGCCATAATTACCATCTCAGTTGCTCATCTACGTACTTTGCAGCACCATATTGATTTCACTCCGAGAGCTACCTTACCCAACCTACCATATTATCAAATGAGCTTGAAGGAACATGCAATCTCACAAGATATAGTGGTATCCAACCTAGCTTAAGTCCTTGCACCATACCCACACTAATTATTCCAAAAGATGGATGGAAAGTGACGAATGTGCATAGACAGCCGAGCAACCAATAAGATTACTGTTAAGTACCAATTTTTTGTACCAAGAATTTCTGATTTGCTGAGATCCACTATGTTTTCAAAATTGGACTTAAGGAAGATTACCATCAAATCCATATCTGACATGGAGAATGGAAAACTGCATTTAAAACCAATGAAAGTTTATACTAATGGAAGGTAATGCTATTTGGGCTTTGTAATGCTCCTTCCACATTTATACGGCTTATGAACGAATTTCTCAAACCATTTTTAGAAGAAACTTATTGCTTATTTTGATGTTCTTGTCTTTAGTTCTTCTCTTAATGAGTATATAGTCCATCTAACACAAATACTAGGAGCTTTCAATGCAATAAATTGTATATCAATTTATCCAAATATGATTTCGCTACTAAGAGCGTGAACTTCTTGGGATTTGTTTTATCACAAGATGGCATCCGAGTAGATCCTCTCCGAGATTGGCCCACACCGCAATCCATCTCAAACATTCATAGTTTTCATGGATTAACAAACTTTTATTGACAACTTATCTATTATGGATTCAATGTCATAATGGCCCCTCTCATGGATTGTTTGAAGTCTCATACCTTCACTTGCCCAATAGCTCAAGTGCATAGTTTTGACGCCATTAAATTTGCTCTCAATTCAAAGCCTGTTTTGGCTCTCTACCAACCAATTTTTGAAAAACCCTTCCATGGATACCGACGTCTCATCTATTAGAATTAGGATTGTTTTGTCCCAAGATGATAGACTAGTTAAATATTTTAGCAAGACGTTGAGTCCACCAAGACAAAAATGGTCTGTTTACGAGCAAGAACTAAATGCCATTGTCCGGGCGCTAAAGTAGAGGGAACCTTATTTGCTTCATCATGACTTTGTATTTTGCAATGCTCATGAAGCGCTCCAATACATTAATAATAAAAAAATAAATCGAGTGCACACACAATGGATAGTCTTTTAACAAAAAATTAGTTTTGTGCTAAAAAAAGGTTGGGAACTTGAATCGTGTGATTAACGCTCTCAATCGGCGTGCTGCATTGTTACCAAATTACAAACCAAAACAATTAGTTTACAGGAAAAGGAGCTATACAACAAAGATGTGGATTTTGTTGAACCTTGGAATCTACGTAATGTTGGACATCCGACCAGTGATACAATTTATGCCATGGGTTCCTCTTCATTATTCCTCAATTTTCTTTCAGACAAAAGCTCATTAAGGAAGTCCACAATAATTGACTTGTTTTTCATGTCAGCAGAGATAAGTCACTAACCCAACTTCAGTACCAATTTTATTGACCGCACATGCGACGAGATGTTTCCTGCTTGGTGGAGCACGATTAAGTTTGACAATTTTATAAAGGAAATGCTAAAAATTCCATCCTATACATGTCACTACCTATTCCGAACCACATTTCAGAAGACCTAAGCATCGATTTTGTCCAGGGGCTACCGAAATCAATACAAGGTTCTGATTCAATTTTGGTGGTCGTTGATAGAATTTCAAAGATAACTCACTTCATTCCCTATAAGAAAATATTTGATGCTCTTAATATTGCACACCTATTCTTTAAGGAGATTGTTCTCTTGCATGGGTTACCTCGTAGTCTTACCTCCAACCATGACATTAAATTTATTATGATAACTCACTTCATTCCCTATAAGAAAATATTTGATGCTCTTAATATTGCACACCTATTCTTTAAGGAGATTGTTCTCTTGCATGGGTTACCTCGTAGTCTTACCTCCAACCATGACATTAAATTTATTATCCACTTTTGGAGAAAACTGTGGAAACAACTTAAGCCCGATGTGAAACTCAGCTCCGCGTACCACCCGCAAACGAATGACAGAACTGAAGTCATTAATAACACTCTAGGTAGTACGCTACACTACTTAGTATGACAACATCCAAAAATAACGAAGAGAACTCCTATGCCATTCTAAATTCGCCTTCAATTCCATGCCAAATCGATCGAGACGTCATTGTCCCTTCGAAATTGTTTATACAATGATGCCAAATCACCTTGTTACATTATTGTTTTGCCAAAATGCCACAACAATGTTGTTGCCCAGTCTGGCAAGCAGGTCTCCAATGTCATCCAGGAAGTTCAAACAACACTAGCTGAAACCAATTCTAAATACAAATAACTTGGTGACACTCATCATAACACAAATTTTTCCAGTACGGAGACCTTGTCATGTTTTGTTTGCATAAGAAGAGGTTTCCACCTACTAGCTGCTCCAAACTTAGCACTAAGCAAAATTGATCTATTCCCTATCCAATGTAGAATCAACGACAACACTTACATTATCCACCTTCCCACCCATATTCAAACTTCTTCAACTTTCACCGTAGCTGATATTTAGGCCTATCATTCTCCAAATAATGCCAATGCCTCAATCACCACATCGGAGCTAAGCTATCTGAAGGAGAGGAAACTTGATGTGGCTCACCTGAACTATAGAACACATTACCACCTATTTTCTCTCCACACCCTCGCCACGCACCACTACCATTATTTGTAACTTATATTCATTTTTCTATTATGCCAGTACAATTATCTTTTTCTTAGTTGTTTTACCTGATATAGTAGTAAAGGCATGTGGGTTTAAAAATGAGAATAGATATATAAATGTAATAGAGAACAAAGGAACTGTTTTTTTTCTCTAGTTTTAAACTAATGTTTCATTGCTTATTATGGGAAACCCTTCTCCTGTGTTAGTTGCTATGCCAAATCCTAATTTTTCATTAATTCCTATTGAGTGTTTCAATCAATGTTAAAACCATTCTTTGCAAAATATTTTCAGCAACATCTATCTATGTTACCTTTAACCTTCCTCTTTCTTGATATTAACTACACACCAAATAGGTGCCATTTTATGTCCAAACCACCCAAAGCATAGTTCCAATTACCATATCTTCAATAGATGCAACTACAATTGTTCCTGTAATATAACAAATCATTAATTTATCCTTACTAATTTTGTCTCATTCATATTCAAGTTGGAAATAAAAGACCTTTAATTAACCAACACTCCAATCCATACAAAATAAACAACTGAATCACACTTTTATCAAATTAACTTCAAATATTTATGATATTCTCTTATCACATAATAATCTTAAGGCATTCCTACATTCAATCATGTAGCATTTACTTGAAAATTTATATCCTCATCCATAACCTTTTTTTTTTTTTGTCTAACAAATGAAAGAAACTTAAGCCTACCAGCTTTAATTATAATAATATTCACTAATGGCTATTAATATCACATTCACTATATTTGCATATCATAACCTAAACCTGATGGTAAAAGTCAAATTTTATTTAGTATTTTTGTGAGTAGGTGTGTGCGCTCGCATTCATTTGAATACAAAGCAACACAAACTGATGGTGTGTTGTCATTGTTCATACCTCATAATCAAGAAAATACTTAGAAATAGCTCAGGGAATTGAAATAGACCGCCTAAACAGTCGGTAAGCTCATCATTGCCAAAAGAATGTTGTCACAATAAACCATCTTAAGAATATCTCCACATTTTTCCTAAAGAAGAAACAACAATCCAACTCCAAATACCAATGCTTCTTCAAGACCCTGTATAATGTATATTTCACAAAATAGAACTTTATTTTTCTGTAAACACCTTCTGCTGCTGCTAGGAATATTATCATTAATTTCTCCAGCAAGCACAATATTTATGGCTACTTTACAAAAAGAATTATTGATTTGAACAGTGGAAAAAAGAATCAAACACAAATTTATTTCAGAATTCATCATTCATCATAATACCAAAGCTGAATCCTTTTCTACTCCAACAAAGATTATAACGGGGAAAAAAGATTCTAACGCAACCCTTCGCTAGGCTCTTTGCAAACATTGGCAACACAAACGAGATATATTGAAAAAAACATCAAGCTCGCCCAGAAAAATAACGACGCTGTCGGCATCCTCTGTCCGATAGATCAAAGCCTTGTCCCAATAGAAAAATAGCCTAAAATCCAAGTCCAAATCTGAATTAACCAAGGAAATCCACACATCTATGTAATATCTAACAACCAAACATCGAAACCCTAGCCTCTAGCATCCAGATTCTTTCTCAAGAAGATAATTGTACAGACAGCTATAAAATTCATCGAATTAAACAAAGAAAGACAATCAAACAAATATTCGCTTCAGTACTAGCATAGTTAAATGCTAAAAACCCTAACAAAAAGAGGAAAAGAGACCGACCAAGCAGAGATAGGAACTAAGAGGAGAAACCTGAGTCAGAATCGCGCTTGGCGGCTTCGAGTCGATGGTTCCAAAACCGCAAGAGAGGCGCGGATGAATTTATAGGTAGATAGATGAGAATGCCGCTTGCCAGCTTCGCGTTTGCAGAGCCGTGCGATGCTCTGCTTCCGAATAAAAATAATAATAAATATTTTCAAAAATAAAAAATAAAAAATAATAAAATATTCAAGATATCCTAACAAAAATTTAATCACGATGATTTAATAAATTTAAGACTTGCCTTGAAATATATATATATATATATATATAT